ACCCCACTATAGCCTACACAATAAGCAGCATATAAGTTTGACACGACGTCGCCAATATTTCGAATCGTCATGACACTTTTTCTCAATTTCAACGATTTGAAATATGAACCGTGGATAGTCCAAAACCCAAACGGACGTTCCGCCAGTTCTGTGCAGGGTTTGGCGTGCGAATTCCATTTTGCAAAAGTAGTCGAGTCGCATCGCCAAATTTGCACAACATGCGACTCGTATTCAATTAGCTCTGATTTCAAATGATTGAAGGGTTTCTGGTGGTTTCAATGATTGAAATCGAGTCGCGCTGTAGGTGGGCGAAAATTGCAAGACATTGTGTATTGGGTTACAAAGGTACTGTGCACCACACAACGCTACAGTAGTCGCGAATGTGGAGCACCGGGAAAAAGTGTCATGTTTCTTTCCGGACGGTGGCAAGGTTCCGAACCGTCAAAACGGCCTGTCCTGCTCTCGATGTTAGGACCGTCCGTTTCAAAATATACGGACAGTCCGAAAAACGCAAAAAAATAACTTATCAAAATGGTTACACGCCTTAACCACCGTGCTGCTGGGAGAGAATATTAACTCCTTTTCAACGCTCCGGGGTTGGTTCACCAACGTTTCTAGTACCGATACTAATTCTAAAGGCTTGAAAACCACGATAAGTAATATTCTTAATTAAAGCATCTTTAACGAATTCTTACTTTCGAGGGTGTTCGACTGGAGTTTCCCGGACAGTGCAGGGTCTTTTTTCGCAGATTCTCCTTTCTTCTCGGCAAATTTCCCTGGTGTCGGCAGGTCGTTTAAAACCAGAATGCAAAATCGTGAACCCCATCCCAACTTGAAATTTAGTTTTTTTTCGAAAGCCAGTTGAAGCGAGCGAGAACACTGTTTCAAACAACCCGTCCAAGCAGTCGACCTTACGTGATTGGCTCCCGCCAAAACATATTTTGCCACTTGTACAAATAGTCGCATTCGTAGACCTGCACGACTGTTGCACGATGATGGTTTCGGTCGCTGGACCAGGGCTCTCCTTTGCATGGGTGTTTTACCCTGATTGCCCTGCCAATCAGGGTGATTTGTTGTACCGACCCTGCCAAAACTGGGTCCCGTCCGATTCCCACCCGGCCACTATCCGGGTGGGCTGTTTTTTTACGCTGCTGAGTCCGGGTTTGGACTTATGTAACTCGGCCATGAAAGGGTTCTCTTACAAAGAACCCGGCCAATATTTCCGCACTACCCTGTCGTCTAAGTACAAGTTTGAGCCGAGATCTCTCTGTCCCACTTCTGACTGAAATTTGTCTAAGTACAAAATTGAGCCGAGATATCTCTACCCCACTTCGAGAATTCCGTCTGTATAAAGTTGAGCGGATCACTCACTACTCCCTTCTTCTGTCTGAAATTCGTCTAAGTATAGAATCGAGCCGAGATCTCTCCACAATTCTCTTCCGTGAAATCTGTTGAAGTATAAAGTTGAGCGGAGATTCTCTACTCCACTCCTCTCTCTGAAATTCGTTGAAGTTAAAACTCGTCGAGAATTCCGAACTCCCATGATCGGACTGAAATTCGTCTAAGTAGAGAGAACTTGTCGAACTCCCTTTATCTCTCCGAAAATTGTCCGAAGTTACGAACGCACGCCGAACCCTCCACCACCCTCGTCCTACTGAAATTCGGCTAAGTGAAGCAGCACGCAATGCTTGCGGAGCAGAGGCAGGTAAAGGTAAAGGTTTTAGGGGGAACCCCCTTTGGTATTACCCCGGCTGTCGGTCGTAACCCGCCTCCCCATTTGTTTACACGCCTCGCTGGGTAACGAGGTTGTTCTATCCACTCCGAGATGAGCACCTGTCTAGCCCCTTTAGTGGGGGCTGGCGGAATACGCCGCAGGGGGGATTTGATCCCGTTACCTCATCTTTCGGAAGTGAACCAGCTAACTAGCTGGGCCACTACAGGATACGGAGCAAAGGCAGGGTTGCTGAAAATGTGACCCTGCCACAAATAATATTTTTATAGAGAAAACCCTGCCAGTACCCGGATTTTCCCACCCGCCATGGAAGAGTGCCTCAAAACGAAAAGAGAGGCCTGCGCTGGACCCAGCTTCAGGTTCAAGTTGTGCCTGGGTGATTGAGCCTGCTAGTTTCTACTCCTGAAGACTCTAATTTTCAGCCTAGCATAGAATAGCTGAGAACATATACATTTTATGCCTAGGCGCATAGGTTATGTTCTAGCTTGGATGCGTAATAATTTCGTAAAATAGCGAAATGTTTTTCCGCATGTCGCGCACTCGTCGCATTCCCCGTCACAATCGGCCTCGCTCTCCCGTTGCTGCGTCACTTTGCAACGTCGTCCCCTGAAATTCTCTGTTTTTTCGCTGCTTGTTTTTCCCATGTTGTTATTGCCACCCTAGCAGGCCCATGTCTAAGGCATTTGCTTTTCGTGAGCTGGACTTGCTTTGCATAAGTTGGACATGCTTTGAAGGAATACTATGGAGAGCGTAGCGACAGCGAGAGAGTGATTCCACTAGAATTGTATAGTAGCGCCAGCAACTCGGTAGAGTTTCGGTAAAGCTTGTCTCCAATTGACTAAGGAAGAAACCAAGTAGCAATTGTAATAACACTATGAATACAAATACAAACAAACAAGATTGATATAGGCTACGGGAGAGTTGCACAAACGTTGCGTGGCGCTTCGGTGTAACCCAACCCCACGAAAGTGGTGTGTGGGTGAGCGAACGCGCCTCGTCAACTTCCCAACCCAACTCAGCAGGGAAGTCAATGCCAAGCACGCCGTTTCTCTCAGCACTGCTAGAAATGGCGAGACTCACAGAGAACCACCCATAACTCCCAAGACAACCACGCATTTCCCAAGAAACATACCCACGACTTCCCTAAGCTAGCACCACCCCAGCAATGACTTCATTAGAGTTGCCGTAGTCGCTCGTCGTCAACACGCAACCATCGCGTGGTCATAGGGTCGGTGCTGGGTAGCTCGTAGTCTTGGTCGTAAACCTGCCAAGTCAAGCATATCGTGAGGGCCCTTGCTGTCGTAGGGCCCTCTAACAGTCCCCTGCCATACTACAGCAAGGCCCTTTATAATCAGAGGGCATGCATACACACATACACACCAAAACAAAGGGACACACACTCAAACTAAGCACTCTCAAAGTGCAAACACACACCGCACCAGCCATGGATAGGCCATGGCACCATTCATCATGGAGTGTCTAGGTCTCACTCTCCTCGCTCGAGAGGCTCATCTGCCCCACAGCCTCGAAGCAACGGCTGAAGGCGGGGAAATGCAACGCCTTTGTAAGGTAGTCAGCAGGCTGCTCGCTCGTAGGGATGTACTGCAGCTGCAGCTTCCTGCGCTTAACCATGTGCTGCAGCTACATGTGGCGACGCTCCATGTGCTTGAGGCTCCCCTTGAGCCCCATGCCACCTGCCACTGAAATGGCGGAGGAGTTGTCCACAAAGAGGGTAGTGGGCTCCTCACTCCTTAGCAGTTGAAACTCTGCCAGCAGGAAGCGCAGCCTGCGCGCCTCCTTCCCAGCCTCTACAGCAGCAACGTACTCAGACTCAGTGGAGGAGAGGGTGGCGCAACGAATCCTGTGGCTCGCCCAAGAGACAGCAGCACCCCCGAGCACGAAGACATAGCCACCAGTGCTGGTCTTGTTCTGCTTGTCCCCCGCATCATCAGCATCGGCGTAGCCCACCAGCTCCAAGGACTCCGGCCCACCACCAAACTCCAGCGCCACATCCCTGCTCCCCACCAAGTACGTCAAGCACCGGTCCAACTCCTTCCAGTGCTGATCACTCCGCACAGTCTGGCCCGACCCCAGCTTGCTGCAGGCGAACGAGATGTCGGGACGGGTGGTACAGGCTGCGAACTGCAAGGATCCCACCTTCTGCCTGTACTCCTCCTCCTGGCGAGACTGTCATCCCACATCCTCGAAGGTCTGCAAACTGAAAGGGTCAGAGGAACGAGGGTTGCGAGGCACTCGCAGCGGCTGCTCCCCGTCAAAGAAGCGCCTATGGACCTTGTCCACATAGGCCCCCTGGTGCAGCCACAGCCTCCTCGTAGGCCTGTCCCGAATCAACTGCAACCCCAGATACTTCTCCACAGGGCTAATCTCCCGCAGCTGAAACGCACTCTGCAGCAGGTCACGCAGCTCCCCTAGCATGCGCTGACTGCGGCTGGCAGCAAGCAAATCATCCACATACACCAGCAGCCAGCACATCTCCCCCTCAGCATCATTCTTGAAGTACAGAGCCTCATCCACCTGGCTCTTCTTCCATCCAGCCCCAAGCAGCACCCCATCCAAGGCCTCATACCATAGCATCGGGCTCTGCTTGAGCCCATACAGACTCTTCACCAACTTACAGACACGAGGAGTCCCATCCTCGTAGTAGCTCGGCTGCTCCATGTAAAGGTCTCGGTCTAGCACGCCATGGAGGAACGCGTTCTTCACATCCAGCTGCATCAGGTCCAAATCGAGTGCAGCTGCAATCGCCAGAAGCACACGCGCCGTCACATAGCTTCCCACAGGGGCGTACGTCTCCTCATAGTCCACCCCTGCCACCTGCATGAACCCCTTCACCACCAGCCTCGCCTTCTCACGCTCCACTATCCCATCAGGTCGGAACTTGGTGTTCAAAATCCAGCGGTTCTTCATCACATTCACCCCTGGCGGACGCGGAACCAACTCCCACGTCCCCTGCTCAATCAAGCTCCGCATCTCCTCATCCATCGCCTCCTTCACCTTGTCGCCCTTCCAGCAGCCCAAGGCCTCCTTCACTATCATCTTAGCTATATCCCACTGCCTCTCAGGGTCGGCCACCACATCTGGGTCCAGGTCCGTCCACTCCTCGTCCTCCTCATCGTCATCCAAACCCGCCGGCTCAATCACTACTGCCCAAGCATACTTAACTGGCGGGACACCACGAGTGATGCGAGTGGAGCGACGTAGCGGTGGTGCAGTGATCGTCCCAGAAACCAACACACGACCACCACCTCTAATTCCCCACATCTCCTGCTCCCCTGTCTGCGGCTCCCCTGTCTGCTGCTCCCCAGTCTGCTCCTCCCCTATCTGCTGCTCCCCAATCTGCTGCTCCCATGTCTGCTGCTCCCATGTCTGCTGCTCCCCTGTCTCCTGCCCCCCACTCTGCTGCACTCCATCCATGCTGCTCTCGTCCTGCAGCTGCTCAGTCACAAGGCGTTGCCCGTCGGTGATTATCACAGACGGCGACACCACTGTCCCCCCCTCACCAACGGGAGGCGCCGTGGAAGACGAAGAGGAGGGCGGGGCAGGTGCAAGAGGGATGGAGGGTGGAAGAGGAGAGGGAATAACAGGAGGAGGAGGGGTAGCCAAGGGGGGTGAGGATGGAGGAGGCGCGGTAGGAGGAACCACACGAGGGTACACTGTAGGAGGAGGTGGGGTGGGGACTGAGGTAGGGACATAGGGCATAGCAGGAGGTGCGACCACTTCCTCCTCCTCCACCTCCTCCTCAAGAGTGCCTGGGAAGAGTGAAGGAAGGGGCTCATAGGGCATCGGACGCCCCCCATGCTCCTGCTGATGCCAAGCCTTCCATCCTGCCAAGGACATGGTCTCATAGAAAACTGCTTCCACAGTGGTGATGAGGCGGTTGGACTCCAAGTCCAGCACGTGCCAGCCCTTGCTCGCTGCTGACACCCCCAAGTGCAACCCCCAGCAAGCCTTAGGCGCCAGCTTCCCCCGGCGATGCGACTGCGGCACCATATACTGCACCATGCAGCCCCAAACACGCACCATACTGACATCGGGTTTGCGTCGGAAGGCGAGCTCGTACGGCGTCACACCAGAGGGCAGCGAGGCGTGCTCCACGCGGTTGCGCACCTAGACGGCCTGCGCCAGCGCCAGGTGCCACCAGTGATGCTGCACACCCATATGCAGCAACATCGTCCGCACAGCCTCCACAATGCTGCGCATCTCCCTCTCCGCCATCCCGTTTTGCTCCGGCGTGTACGGGCACGTGAGGTCGTGGATGATCCCCTTCTCGTCGAGGAAGAGCGTGAAATCGTGTCCCAGGAACTCGCCACCCCGATCAGTGCGCAGCGCCTTCACCATGGTCTTACACTGCCGCTCTGCCATCGGGAGCCACTTCTGGAACGCCGCCAATGCATCGCTCTTCTTGGCCAAAGGGTAGGCCCAGACGTACCGCGTCTTGCGATCCTTCAGCACCAAGAAGTAGCGGCTGCCGTCCTTAGCTGCTTCACGAAAAGGGCCACACAGGTCAGCATGCACCACTCCAAGCAGCTCATCCTCCTCCTCACCCACGGAAGGAAAGGTATGACGAGTGATCTTCCCCCCAACACAGGAGACACAAGGCATGCCTGACTTGCCCCCCTTTTCCAACTCCAAGCCCGTCACTGACCCGTGAACCGCAGTACGCTCTATGGCGTCAACACCGACGTGTGCGAGGCGCGCATGCCACTTGTCCACCTTAGATCGCACGCCCGTCGCCAAAGTGCGCAGGGCCACCGTTTCACCCTCCTGCTGCTGCGTCGAGCATGGCTGGAAGTTCGTGCAGAGGACACGTCCCTTGAACTCCGCACGACCAAGGAGCGACCCATCTGGCGTGCGCAGCAGAGTCACGTCCCCGGCATCCAGCAGCTGCACGCCACTATCACGCAGCTGCCCAGCAGAAAGAAGACTCGCCTGCACTCCAGGTACGTACAGCACGTCTGGCACCAAGACACGCCTGCCCCCGTCTCCAAGGAGAGCGACTGTGCCTCGCCCCTGCACCTTCTGAGGAGCGCCGTTGAAGCCGATAACCTGTTTGATACCGCCGCCGCTGCTCATCTCCACAAAGGCACAGCGATCTCCCATGAGATGGTGGGAGCATCCGCTATCAAGTAGCACGACGCTCGGGTTCGCCTTCACAGCAGCTGCAACAGCCTGTAAGCCCTCCCCGGCCTCAGGCTCCAGCATGACGGGAGGAGGATGCTCTACAACGGGCTTCACCATCGCACATGATGACTGCCCGCTCCCCTTAGAGCCATCACCCCCCTTGCCACCCGCGCTGCTGCCTCCAGAACCCTCTCCACCCTTGTCTGCCTCCTTATCCGCCCGCTGCCGACAGTACTTCGCAATATGCCCCGGCTGCCCACACACGTAGCAATTCTCCTTGAACCCTCCTTTCCCCCCCTTGGACTGGCCATCCTTAGCCCCTTTTTACTTCTCCCCTCCCCCACCAACCCCACCAACATTCTTAGGCTGTTGCTGCTGTGCCGTAGTGGGAGGGGAAGGGGATGAAGTCGGTTGGAATTGGGGCTTACCCTTCTTGGTAAACACTTGGTTAGCCTGGGGAAGAAACTGGTCCTTCTGTCCCTCCGCCGCCAACGTACACTCCTCCTCGATGGTGTAGCTAGCGAGGGTGTCCTCGTCCAGCTCCTCGCGCACCTGCGGCAGCTTCAGCATCCTGCGTAAGAGGTTGTACTGCTGCGGCAACCCCTTCACGACGTGAGTAATGTACGACGCCTGCGAGTAATCTACGCCGGCCATCCTCAGGTTCACTAGGATCTGCTGCGCACGGTTGCAATAGGACGTGGCGGACTCGTGTTCTCCCATCTCGAGGTTTGTGAGCGCCTGCTCTAACTGACCTATGTACAGGTCGTCCTTCGCCATGTACGTGCGCATGATAAACTGCCACGCCTGAAAGCCGGCATCTACCTTCATGCGACACGCCTTAAGGGCGATCTGTACGGTGGGGGAGCAGCATCGGGAAATCGTGGTGAACGTCAGTAACTGCATTGCGCGAAACTGTGTGACAAGCGCAACTGCATGCGCTGGGGGAGCAGGTGTGGTACCGTCGATGAATCGCTTAAGCTGGGCAATCTCAAGCTGAGGCTCTATAGATTCTACCCACGTCGACAGGTTGTGACGTCCTTCTAATGGCCTAGGTACGACGATCTTGTCGAGTGAATTTGAAGAAGCCATAGTTGGGAGCTATTCCCTTGTCCCTCGTCATCGATCCAATCGGGGTAACCCGGCATAGCCTCACTATCGTACTCCTCCGCATTCCCTCCTCCAGCAACGCTCCGTCGTCCTACATTCGCAAGCTCTCGTGACGCCGCCGCTCGATGAACACGCTCCTGTACACCGCCGACGCTAGCCGTATTAAACCGAGTCGGTCCTCGCAGGACCCCACGCGACATCAACCCATCAAGCTCCTCGTCATCGCTATTTCCGCCATCGACAGCCATATCCCACGCACTAGTACCTCCCGCAGCTTGCTCAACATTCTCTACACGTGGCGAGGGATGATCGCGACGCCAACGAGCGCGTAATCCCTCCTGCATGAGCTCGTACTCGATATCACTAAGCTCACCACGGAAATGACGGGCTACGAGATCCTTCTCTAATGCGCGAATATTGCCGGCCTCAACGTCCGCCTCCTCCGTACTCATCCTCTACGACGTCTCTATAAGGTGCCACAAATTAAAATAAACTGTTCCTTCCTTAAATCCCTCGTCTCGGGGTCACCTCACAAGGGTCCTCAGACGAGTGGTAATGAATTACCAAACGCCCTATCCTTGGGTCTGAGAGCGTAACTGGAGGGAAATTAAGAGAGGTTCAACTTAGATTAATGAGCGCCCTTCACTACGGCCAAGGCGAGTATACTAACGAACGTCGACGGAAAGCTATGCGTGTTCGTTCCACGCTCACCGCACCATGAAGGAATACTATGGAGAGCGCAGCGACAGCGAGAGAGTGATTCCACTAGGATTGTATAGTAGCGCCAGCAACTCGGTAGAGTTTCGGTAAAGCTTGTCTCCAATTGACGAAGGAAGAAACCAAGTAGCAATTGTAATAACACTATGAATACAAAGACAAACAAACAAGATTGATATAGGCTACGGGACAGTTGCACAAACGTTGCGTGGCGCTTCGGTGTAACCCAACCCCACGAAAGTGGTGTGTGGGTGAGCGAACGCGCCTCGTCAACTTCCCAACCCAACTCAGCAGGGAAGTCAATGCCAAGCACGCCGTTTCTCTCAGCACTGCTAGAAATGGCGAGACTCACAGAGAACCACCCATAACTCCCAAGACAACCACGCATTTCCCAAGAAACATACCCACGACTTCCCTAAGCTAGCACCACCCCAGCAATGACTTCATTAGAGTTGCCGTAGTCGCTCGTCGTCAACACGCAACCATCGCGTGGTCATATGGTCGGTGCTGGGTAGCTCGTAGTCTTGGTCGTAAACCTGCCAAGTCAAGCATATCGTGAGTGTCAAGTCTGGGGGTGCTGAGCCTGGGGTTGCTGAGTCTGGGGGTGCTGAGCCTGAGGGTCTGAGCCTGCGGTTGCTGAGACTGGGGGTGCTGAGTCTATTGGAGGTACTGGAGGTGCTGGAGTTACGGGTCCTGGAGGTCCCAGTGGTGCCTCGCCCCAGCAGTCTAGCCGGCGGGAGCCTCTCTCACCACAGCAGTTGCGCGAGTGGTACGCTCGGCGCTGTGGCCTTCGGAGTGGCGCTGCTGGAGCTGGAGGCCCTGGAGCTGCTAGTCCTGGAGGTGCTGGTGGTACTGCTGGTCCTGGAGGTACTGAAGGTGCTGGAGTTACTAGTCCTGGAGGTCCCACTGGTGCCACGCCCCAGCGGTCTAGCCGGCGGGAGCCTCTCTCACCACAACAGTTGCGCCAGTGGTACGCAAGGCGTTGTAGCCTACGGAGTGGCGCTGCTGGAGCTGGAGGCCCTGGAGCTTCTAGTGCTGGAGGTACTGGAGGTAGTGGAGGTTCTGGAGCTGCTGGAGTTGGTGGTGCTGCTGCTGCTCGAGGTGCTGGAGCTGCTAGTCCCGGAGGTGCTCGTACTGGTGGTACTGGAGCTGCTAGAGCTGGTGGTGCTGCTGCTGCTGCTGGAGGAGCTGGAGCCGCTGGTCCCGGAGGTGCTCGTACTGGAGGTACTGGAGCTGCTGGAGATGGAGGTGCTGCTGGAGCTGGAGGTGCTGCTGGAGCTGGAGCTGCTGGAGGTCCTGCTGGTGCTGGAGCTGCCGGAGATGCTCGTACTGGAGGTCCTGGAGCTACTGGAGCTGGTGGTTCTGCAGGAGTTGGAGCTGGAGGCGCTGGAGCTGTTGCTGCTGGAGGTGCTGCTGGAGCTGGAGCTGCTGGAGGTGCTGGAGCTGGTGGTGCTGCGGGAGTTGGAGCTGGAGACCCTGGAGCTGGGGGTACTGGTGCTGTCTCTGCTGTTTCTGGAGGCGCTGCGCGGCCGCGGCCGTACTACGTTCCGCTCCTTCAGCAGGTTCTTGGCCTCCCGCCTTCTACTGGTCCTACTCCTCCCTTGCTGAGTCCACCGCCTGACCAGTCGCAGTTGCAGTTACAGCAAGCCTCTCCACTGCCTGGTCCTTCTCCTTACTCTGGGCCGACTAGAGGTCTTACGGAGCGTCGTGAGCCTGAGTCTCGTCCTGTGTCGCCTGTTCGCGCTGGTCGCACTGGTAGTCGTGTTCCGCGTCCGCGTCCTCCTCCTGTCCCCGGCACGCACCAGATGGCACTTCGTCCGTCCACTGCTCCACAGCGT